ACAATTAAAACGAAATTAGATGTCGGTTTGGGTTGCCAAATGAGTGGTTAGGGTTTAGATTTTATAATTAAAACGAAATTAGATATCGGTTTGGGTTGACAAATGAGTGGTTAGGGTTTAAATTTTACAATTAAAACGAAATTATATATATGTTCACCGCTGGGTTTAGGGTTTATGGTTTAGGATTTGGGTTTAGGGTTTAGGGTTTATATAACAAATATTTCACAAACCTAAACAGATATATAATTTCGTTTTAATTGTAAAATTTAAACCCTAACCACTCATTTGTCAACCCAAACCGATATCTAATTTCGTTTTAATTATAAAATCTAAACCTTAACCACTCATTTGGCAACCCAAACCGACATCTAATTTCGTTTTAATTGTAAAATCTAAACCCTAAACCCTAAACCCTAAACCCTAAACCCTAAATCTATTTTCTGATTTCCTTTTTTTTTTTAATTGTGTTTTTTTTTAATTCTCTAGTATTAGTAATGACATGGCAAAACGATTGGCTATAATCTGTTGGGTGAATTTAAAGGTTCACCCCAGGGGTAAACCTAAGTATGGTTCTAAATTATTTATGATATATCTTATTTTTTGAGTTTTATAATTTTATATATACAACTTTTGGAACCAATTAAAATTTTAAAATTAGACAAAATTACGGGTTGCAAAAAAAAAAGAGGCTATAAAATCCATGAAATATGATATATTAGTGTTGTTTATTAGTGGTTTTTTCGGATTTACAAAGTAATAATGCATATGCTAATTTATAAGAGTAAATGAAAATGTCAAGTTAGCGGAATCAATTATCAATGAACTTTCCAAAATTAGAAGATGAAAGCTTTTGCCAAATTAGTAGGATAAAAAAAGGGCAAGTTAACAAAGTTAATAGACTTAAAAAGTAGCAGAGCCAGTGGACCTGACACGTATATATTAAATTAACATAATCAATACAAAACTCGTGTTTGTTGGAAATAGTTAAATATTTCTCAATTACTGATGTTATACATTTCAGTTAATAGCGCAATTATTTATCATGATCTGCGCCGTAATTAATGCTCATACGTTACATTTGAGATATTTGAATTTTTATTTATAAAAAGAAAAAATTGGAACGTCGCACATTAACCTAGAACTAATATTTTGCTTTCTAACATTAAGGATACTGATAGTTTGTCGCCACATAGTATAACTTTGTTTTGTTTTAATTTGGATATTTTCAATTCTTTTCTTAGATGACAAAATTTGATATAGTATGAATCATTTTAATCTTATTGATCTAATATCGGTACATTGTTAGTATTTCTTTCTAAGAAGTCGTCAAACCAAAGACATATGGATTGACGAGATAGTCCAATCACCTCAAAACTACCGAAAAAAACAGCTTAGAATACTCGAAATAGTTGCATTAACTCAAATTTTTACCTAGGTCAAGAAACACTTATAAATAATCTTTGTCCTCTAAAAAATAGAAGCATAGAGTGTGGTACTTCCCTAGTTCGGACCTTAAGAGAAAACCTAACTTGCTATCTCTGACCCATAAACACACCACAAAACATCACTCATGAGGAGGAGAACAGTTCCCGGATCATCCAACTTTTCCTCTCCCGTTCCTCCTTTCCACTTCTCCATGATCATCATCGTGTTTCGAGGAGTTTCAACTCTTATTAGGGACACAATTTCCCTCTCTCTAGCCCTCAACAAACATCGATCATATTGGGCCTCATATTGCCTTGACCAAGGATCATAACTAAACCCCACTCTCCCTCCCATAAACGACTTTTTCTAGTCACGTTGACATCAATATGTCTTGAACGTCAAGACAAACCCATTTTTGTCTTCTCCAAGATATTTCTACCATCTAAATGTGACATGAAAACGTTTGAAAGAGTGGATACTACATTGAATATATTTATAGAGGCAAGGCTTGGTCGGATTCCTAGTTGAATACCCTACAATATGTTCATTAGTTATTTCTCTGCAAACAACGTTTGTCCATAATAAACAAATTCAACTTTGCGAAAGATCTAAATAATCTTATCTGAACAATTTACAATTAAAAAATAATGATAAAAGCAACTAAAATCAAACAAAAGTTAGTGGTTTTTTAGATTCACAAAGTACTGTCTATACTCATTTGTAAGAGTAAATGAACATATCAAATTAGCACGGTCAACAATTAATGAACCTTCTAAAATTAGCAGACGAAAGCTTCAACGCTGTTAGCAGAGTTAATGTAATACGGATATTTCAAATTAACGTACTCAAAGAATTTGCGCTCCACAAAGCACATGCTTGTTGGAAAATAAATTAATTTTCAATTAATAATGCTATATTTTCCAGTTAATAGCGCATTTATTTATCGTGATCTACGCCGAAATTTACGCTCAGACATTACATTTGAGATGTTTGAATTGCTATTTATAAATGGTGAGTTTGCTTCGGAAAAAATTGGGACATCAAACACGTTAACTTGAAACTGATATTTCTCATTTTAAGATTGATTGTTGGTACCGGCCGGCAACTCTGCCGCCATATGAAATTGCTTTGTTTTGCTTTGGATTTTGTTAATTCTTTTCTTAAATAATAAAAATTTGATATAATATGAATTTTCTTACTCGCATGATTTGATAACATTACATTGTGAGTTCTCAACAAATTATGAGGCAATGTAATAGTCGAATAGATTAAGACAATGGAAAAACGTGAGATTGAACATGTGAATGAGAAATAGAAAAGGAAAGCCAACAAGAACTAGGGGTCTAATTTTTATGAGTCAAGTATTCTAGTCTGGTTACACTTAAGGAAAGGGAGATTTCAATTTATTAGAAAATGCAAGTTGTAGCTTATACCAAAGGCATATAAGATCGATACAAAATATTTGAGAAATTTTATATAATGCTTATAATCTTGAGCTTTCATGAGATTATGGAGATTATGAAGTTTAACTACTTTCAATATAGGAGAGCTTAGCTTTCTCCAAATCCTGAGAATGAAGAGTTGTTGGATTTGAGGAAAAGTTACTCAAAGGGATTGATGTTGGAGTAGAGTTGCAAGCAAGAGAAGCGGCACAACAATGGAGAAGTACTGTAGTAGGCTGGCTTTGACCATGTTAATTTATGGACGAAATACTCTCTTAATACAAGGTTTACAATCTCATGGGCTGGATGTTTGAAATATCTTGGCTGCTTGTTCGACCCCATGCATGTTGGAGTCTATTTTTAGCATTCCCAAGTGTTAATCATGCAGGCTAACTTTTCTTATAAATTGATTTGTATTTTCTCCTATATAGAGGCTCATTTTTATCGAGTAAAGGTAGAGAACGAGGTTGAAATTTGGAGGTCTTTGTGATCCTTTGGATATGCTTAGATCATCTCTTTTATTATTTGGTTTTGAGAGAGTCATTGGTCAAACATTATTATCACTTGATAGTGGTAATATTTTCTAAGTTTTTTTTTGGTGGTTTCGATTGACTTAGCCTTTACGATTGTGGTCTCATATCTTCCTATATATCTAATAACAATAATGGTTGTTTCAAATTTAGAAAATCCATTAATTTGCTCTCAAAATTTTCATGTTACAGTTTTTATTTTATTCACTCATTTAATATTACGGCTTGACGCATAAGAAAACTTCTACAAAATTACTAATTTAAAGTCAACGAACTTGGCAAATTAACACAATTAGTTGTTATACAAAATTAGCAATTTAGTCGATGGACCTGCCACTTATATGACAAATTAACATAATATTAGAATTGAGCTCCAAAATACACGTGCTCGTTGGAAATGGTAAAATATTTTTAATGTACTTTTGCAGTTAAAACCATAGTTATTAATCATGATATAGGCCGAAATTTACGGTTAGACGTTATACTTGAGTTGTTTAAATTATTATTTATCCAAAGTGAGTAAGAACACAGGAAAACTGAGACATCGATCACATTAACTGAAAACTAATAATTTTCATTTTATGATATATTTTGGATAATGACAACATTGTCGCTACATTGAACAACTCTATTTTGTTTTAGATTTTGTTAATTTTTCTGACACTTTTTGATATCCAATAAGATACTTATTAACTTTAAATTATTAGATTAAATTATTTACAACATAAAATCAAATGATTTATATGAGTATTATCGAATTGTTACCACTCTATTTCTCAAGGCCAATAATTCATTTTTTTTAAACAAGAAACATAAAAGAGAGTTTTGAAAATTTAAAAAATATTTAAACATTGAATCTTTTTATAAATAGTAAAATATATTACAAGAGGAGAAACTATTATTGTAGAAATATTTTTTATATTAGGAGGGAAAAACAAAGTTCTTAAGAATATATTATTTCTTTCAAGCATTTTAGGTAGTTCCAGCAAAATCATTAAATACCTTTGACTAGAAAATTAAACAATTTAAATCATATAAAGGCAAAAAAATACAAAATATTAGTATTAGGAAAAGGTAAATGAAGTAAAAACAAAACAATCGAACATATGTCCATATATTGTTTCCAGCAGTCATTTGCAAAACAAAAACCGTGTGACTGGTGAATTTAGTGACTATGACTCAGTTTCAACTACCTAATTACGGTTTCAAAACATGTTGACCTTGTTTTTTTAAAAAAACTCCCATTAGTTGTCACTTAATTATCCATATTATTACAATTATTTGATTTATATACAACTTTTAAATACGCTTATTAAGAAAAAGATTTCTTTACTTTTAAAGCCATATCTTAGATTTTGTTGCTTTCCTATTTGGTAATTTAATTCTATATTTTTACCAAAAAAAAAAAAAAAAAAAAAAAAAAAAAAAAAAAAAAAATTTAATTCTATATTGTGACATAAATTGATAGCTTTTACCAAATAACACCTTAAACTTTCCCTACCTCTCTCTTTCATCTTCTATATCTTGAGAGATTCTCTATTTATTTTTTCAGACAAGTCACAATAAAGACCGAAAGTGAAATAAGTCTTGTCCTAGATACAACAGTGGTGACCATGTCTTACGTTCCATCGAACTCAACTGAATCCCTGTTACTGAAACTTGCGTTTCTCGTCTCTGTTCCAATCTGTTGCATATTAATCGTCGTCCTACTTCTTTATATCAGGTCTTATCTTCGAATGCATCGAAACAACAATCTCTCAACGGTAACTCAAATATGTGAAAGATTTTGATATGTTTGGTTCTTTAATGATTTGCTGACTCAAATATCTGAACAGGCTGAATTAGGACTGAGCAAAGATATAAGAGAGATGCTTCCCATTGTTATCTACAAGGAGAGTTTCACTGTCAAAGATACACAGTGAGTTCTCTCATAATTCATAAAGATTTTATCTTTTGTGGATTCACGATCTTGAGTCAGATCGTTTTTTAAGGCTTATCTCATAAAATAAACGTGTGATTGATAAGTGGATAATTGTCTTGTGTATTTTCATTGAAACTGTTACAAAATTTCATTATTTTGTTCGGAGTGCACATAAGCGAAATCGCGATCTCATTTTCGAGTGGAGGCATATGTAAAGCCCAAAAAATTCAATGGTGCAATTTTGGTTTGTATATTGAGTTGTTTTTTATGAGTTTGTGATTTGGAAGAATCTTTTATTCTTAGATAATTATTGGACTCATAGTATGAGTATTAGCTCCAACAGAAACCTGACAAAACTACTTATGCGTATGTTTGTTTTTTCTTTCTTTGAATAGCCAAAACATAAGAAAGAATGATTAAGAATCACCTGATTTGACTTTGACTTGAAAACAGATGTTCAGTGTGTCTTGGGGACTACCAAGCAGAAGAGAAACTCCAACAAATGCCATCATGTGGGCACACTTTTCACATGGAATGTATTGATCTTTGGCTCACTTCACACACAAATTGCCCTCTTTGTCGTCTCTCTCTTATCCCCAAACCGCCCCTAGACGGGTGCCATCAAACCCCAGAGATTATCTCTCCCATAGAGAACTCTAACGGAGGAGGAACTTCTGCTCAACCAGATTCCCAATCAACAACCGAAGCAGTAAGTCACATCGAGGATATCCAAGAAGGTAACGCAGATAGTCCAGAAGTCTCTAAGGAACCGGAAGAGAATGACCGAAACAGCGTAGGGACATCTGATGGTTGTTGTACTTGTAGACTTGGTTAAAAAGCATAAAAGCTTTGTCTTGTCTCTTGATGATATTTTGGTAAGAAATAAGGATTTTTGTTTTCTCTCTTGCGTTTGTTACTTGTAACATTGGTATGAGTGAAATGAATGCATGATCCATTAGAAGAAAATGAAGTAACAACTTTTATTTTATTTTTTTATTAAATGAAGTCACAACTCTAACGGAGGAGGAGCTTCTGCTTAACCAGAGTCCCACTCAACAACCGAAGCAATAAGTCACATCGAGGAGGGCCAAGAAGGTAACGGAGATAATCAAGATGTGTCTAAGGAAATAGAAGAGAATGACCGAAACAGCGTAGGGACTTCTGATGGTTGTTGTACTTGTAGACTTGGGTAAAAAGCATAAAAGCTTTGTCTTGTCTTTTGGTGATCATTTTGGTAAGATTTAAGATATTTTGTTTTCTCTCTTGCGTTTGTTACTTGTAACATGGTTGGGAGTGAAATGAATGCATGATTCATAAGAAGAAAATGGTTTGGAAACATTTGCATTACTGTCAGAACTTTAAAAAAGTTATCTTCTCAACAAACTTAACCTCATAAAACAAAATGGACTGCTTAGAGTGTTGGTTTGGGCTGACTATTATGTCAACCAGATGTTTGTGTGCGTAAAAGAAGCTACAAAATTAGCGGATGAAAGCTTCTACAAAATTACCCTAGGGTCAAAGAACCTGGCAAATTGACAAAGTTAATGAACCTACAAAATTAGCAAGATTCAATAGACTTAGACACATATATGTCAAATTTACATAATCAATGGACTTGCGTTCTACAAAGCACTTCTTCGTTGGAAAGGATAAAATATTTCTTAATTAATGATTATATATATATATATATATATATATTTTTGAGTTTATAATTCAATATATAAAACTTTTCGGACCAACTAAAATTAGACAAAAGTGACTGTTTTAAAGAAAAAAAAAGAGGAGCTAGTTAATCTATGAAATATGATATATTAGTGGTTTTTTGGATTCACAAAGAAATGCATATGCTAATTTATAAGAGTAAATGAAAATATTAAATTAGCAGAGTCAGTAATGAATATTTCAAAACTAGCAGACGAAAGCTTCTACCAAATTACCAGGATAAAAAAATAGCTAATTAAAAAAACTTAATATATAGACCTAAAAATTAGCAGAAAAGACCTGACACGTATGTATTAAATTAACATAATCAATACAAAGCACGTGTGTGTTGGATATAGTTAAATATTTCTCAATTAAAGATGTGATACTTTTCAGTTAGTATCGCGATTGTTTATCGTGAACTGCGCTATAATTAACGCTCAGACGTTACATTTGAGATAACTGAAATTTTATTTATACATGGTGAATTAGACATAAAAAATTGGGACGTTGTACATTAACCTAGAACTAATATTTTTCTTTTTAACATGAATTATGGATACCGATAGTTTTTACCAAAAAACAGCTTTGAATACTCGAACTAGTTGCATTAACTCAAATTCTTACATAGGTCAAAAAATGCTTATACATAAATCTTTGCACTCTCAAAAAGAAAAGTAGAGAGTGTGGTACTTCACCGGTTCGGACCTTAAGAGAAAACCTAACTTGCTATCTCTAACCCATAAACACACCATAAAACATCACTTATGAGGAGGAGAACAGTTCGAGGATAATCCAACTTTTCCTCCCTCGTTCCTCCTTTCCAATTTTCCATGAACATCATCGCATTTCGAAGCGTTTTAACTCTTATTAGGGAGACAATATCCTTCTCTCCTCTAGCCTTAAACAAACATCATATTGGGCCTCAGATTGCCATGACCAAGGCTCATAACTTAACCTCACTCCCCCTCCCATAAAACGACCTTTTCTAATCACGTTGACATTAATTTGTCTTGAACGTCAAGACAAACTCATTTTTGTCTTTTCAAAGATATTTTACATCTAATTGTGACATGAAAACGTTTGAAAGAGTGGATGCTACATTATATATATATTTCTAGAGGCAAGGTTTGGTTGGACCCTAGTTGAATCACCTACAAAACGTTCATCATTTAACATATCTGTAGAGGCAAGGCTTGGTCGGATCCCTAGTTGAATCAGCTACAATATGTTCATTAGTTATTTCTATGCAAACAACGTCTCTCCACAATAAACAAATTCAACTTTGCGAAAGATCTAAATAATCTGATCTGAACAATTTACAATTAAAAATAATAATAAAAGCAACTTAAATAAAACAAAGTTAGTGGTTTTTCAGATTCACAAAGTAATGTCTATACTCATTTGTAAGAGTAAATGGACATATCAAATTAGCAGAGTCAACAATTAACGAACCTTTTAATATTAGCAGATGAAAGCTTCAACAAAATTAGCAGAGTTAATGTAACACGGATATTTCAAATTAACATAATCAGTGAATTTGCTCTCCCCAACCGAATGGCCGGCATTCTCAGTGTATTTAGAAGATTTTAAAAGAGACAAGGAGGAATTTTCAAGCTTCTATTTATCTTTAATCCCTCGAAGTGCAAATGTAAAAACGGATAATTTGGCGCGAAAAGTTCGCACCGAACCGCATCACGTCACATATGTAAACAACATTCTTCATGAATGGCTCTTTTGAATTTTTAAACAACATTCCTCATATATGATTTGTATTTAGTAAAAACAAATCTCACCAATCATAAAAAATACAGCAGAATATAAATAGTCACAAATGATCAAATGTATTTAAATTTCCATAGAAACTTGCAAAACATCTTATAATATGAAACAAAATAAAATGTCTAAAACATCTTATATTTTGAAACAGAGGGAGTACTATTTATAGATGGTGAGTTAGCTTCGGAACAAATTGGGACATCAAACACGTTAACTTGAAACTAATATTTCTCATTTTAAGATTGATTGTGGGTACCGGCAACTCTGCCGCCATATCAAATTGCTTTGTTGTGCTTTGGATTTTGTTAATTCTTTTCTTAAATAATAAAAATTTGATATGGTATATATGAGTTTTCTTACTAGCATGATTTGGTAAAGTTACATTGTGAGTTCCCAACAAATTATGAAGCAATGGAATAGATTAAGACAATGAAAAAAACATGAAAATGTTTGGAAGGAGATTGAAAATGTGAATGAGTAATAGAAAAGGAAAGCCAACAAGAACTAGGGGTCTAATTTTTATGAGTCAAGTATTCGGTTACACTTAAGGAAAGAGAGATTTCAATTTATTTGAAAATGCAAGTTGTAGCTTATCCAAAGGCATATAAGATCTATACAAAATATTTGAGAAACTTGGTGAAAATGCTTACATACTTGAGCCTTCATGAGATTTTGGAGATTTTAAAGTTTTAACTATTTTCAATATAGGAGAGCTTTCTCCAAATCTTGAGAATGAAGAGGTGCTAGATTTGAGGACAAGTTCTTTTAAACTCAAAGGGACTGATGTGGGAGTAGAGTTGCAAACAAAAGAAACGGCACAAAAATGGAGAAGTGTAACAGGCTGGCTTTGACCATATTATTTTATGGACGAAATACTCTCTTAATACAAGGGTTACAATCTCATGGGCTGGATGTCTTAGGCTGAAATATCTTGGCTGCTTGTTCGACTCGAAAGTCATTTGAAGAGACATACTCGTCACTAAAGAAAGCTACACTTATTTTGGTTAATGTATCTTTCATTCATGCATGTTGAAGTCTCTTTTTAGTATTCCCTAAGTGTTAATCATGCAGGCTAACTTTGATTATAAATTAATTATATGTTCTCTTATATAGAGGTTCATTTTCGTCGAGTAAAGGTAGAGAACGAGTTTGAAATTTGGAAGTCTTTGTGATCCTTTGGATATGCTTAGATCATCTCTTTTATTATTTGGTTTTGAGAGAGTCACTGGTAACTGAGTCAAATATTTTTATCACTGGTTAGTGATAATATTTTCTGAGTTTTTTTTGGTGGTTTCGATTGGCTTAGCATTTACGATTGTGGTCTCATATCTTCCTATATATCTAATAACTATAATGGATTTTTCAAAATTAGAAAATCCAAAAATCCATTATTTTGGTCTCAAAATTTTCATGTTACAGTTTTTATTTCATTCACTCATTTAGGTTTACCGCTTTACGCATAAAAACTTCTACAAAATTACTACTTTAAGGTCAACAAACTTGACAAATTAACACAATTAATTGTTATACAGAATTAGCAATTTAATCAATGGACGTGACACGTATATGACAAATTAACATAACATTAGAATTAGACTCCATAATGCTCGTGCTCGTTGGAAATGGTAAATTATTTTTCAACTAGTAATGTACTTTTGCACTTAATAGCATAGTTATTTATCGTGATCTACGCCGAAATTTACGGTCAGACGTTATACTTGAGTTGTTTAAGTTATTATTTATTAAAAGTGAATAAGAACATGAAAAAAGAAAGACTGATCGACATCGATCACATTAACTGAAAACTAATAATTTTCATTTTATGATATATTTTGGATATCGACAGCGTTGTCGCTTCATTGAACAACTCTGTTTTGTATTAGATTTTGTTAATTTTTCTGACAACATTTGATATCCAATAAAATACTTATTAAGTTTAATTATTAGATTAAATTATTTACAACATAAAATAAAATGATTTCTATGAGATCGAATTGTTACCACTATATTTCAATAATTCATGTTGTTAAAACAAGAAACATTAAAGAGAGTTTTGAAATTTAAAAAATATTAAAACATTGATTTTTTTATAAATAGTAAAATATATTACAAAAGGAGAAACTATTATATATATTATAGTAATCTTTTTTATATTAGGAGGGAAAAACAAAGTTCTTAAGAATATATTATTTCTTTCAAGCATTTTAGCTAGCTCCAGCTAAATCATTAAATACCTTTGACTAGAAAATTAAACAATTTAAATCATATAGAGGCAAAAAAAATATAAAATATTAGTGTTACCAAAAGATAAATGAAGTAAAAACAAAACAACCGAACATATGTCCATTGTTTCCGGCAGTCATTTGCAAAACAAAAACCGTTTCAACAACCTAACGGTTTCAAAATATGTTGACCTTGTTTTTTTTCAAAAACTCCCATTAGTTGTCACTTAATTTTCCATATTATTACAATTATTTG